GCACGACACGGGGGCATGTTCACAGTGGGTCACCTTTGCGTGAGGATTTGGGGGCATGCGACCTCCCAGATCGTGTGCCCTGGACGACATCTACTCGCTGACTGCGGGGCGCCCTTTGAATGAAGGTGCGTGAATCGAAGCAATATGAAGAAGTGAACACGAGCAGGGCATACCTGGTCTGGGTCACCGTGGGGGAGACCGCCGCCTTGCCTTCCGTCCAGTCATCGCTCCTATTCTATGGGATTACCAAAGTGGTTAGTAATGGTTATGGGCCTGTTTCGCTGTGCCGAGGTTATCCTTGCGGCTATAAGTCCGCTGGGAAGGCGCATTGTGGGAAGCCTCATTCTCCTGCCTCTCGCATTGATGTCTTCCCCTCTTTTGCTCGTGTGTTCGCCGCTGCTCTCCCTCCGGTGATGGATCTTGAGAAAAGTTCCCATGAGGAGTCTTCTTAGGTCGATGGGCCATCGTCGCTTCTCTCGTTTTCTCTGCAAGAGCAGGGGTAAGTGGTTTCATGTCGTTATTCGAGTTCGATCGCGTTCGAGCTAATCGTGAGCATATTTAGGGTTGTTCCTCAGGCGACGGTGTCGGAGACCAGGGGAACCCTAGGCACCCCCATTCCCAGCCCATTTCGGCACCGGGACCGGCGAGCCCCATCCCCTGGCCCTTTCCATCGGACGACAGGGGATATGGAGCTATGTGCTCGAAAGGGACGAAGCTCGCCGGTAGCACTGAAATTCTGTCCACGAGGTGACCCAGCTGAAGGTCCACGTGGACTACCTCCAGGCGACCCTTCTAGTGGTAGAGGAGGAGGTCGCCGAGGCATGGGCGGTGGCTACTGCCACATGGGTGCGGGCGTACGGTGAGTCTTCTTTCATTCCTAGCTTTTGTTCGCTAGGTTCTTGCTCTTAGGTTCTGACGGGACTTTGTGTATAGCAGCGCTAGAGGAGCAATTCGCGGCGTCCCGCCATGAGGTGGGGGAGGCCCACCCTCATGAAGGCCCTCCAGGGGGAACCACCACTAAGGCGCGACCTCCAGAATCTGGCGGGGAATTAGCTTTGCTAGGTGATCCAGTCATCGCTGCGGAGGCTGCTGCGACGATCGTGAAGACGAAGTGGCCTTCACGGGCGTAGCTAGGTTTTCTAAGTGGCGTCGAGTGTTCGTAGTCCATCAGCCCGTGTGCTTCACCGGCGGGCCAAATTGAAAGCAAACCTTTCGTATGTGGAGTTTGTTAATGGTCTTTATTTCTATTTGCTCATGCCGTTACGTGGCTTTCACTATTTTTGGTTTATTTTTACTTTAGCCTAAAGCAATTGGGCCTATGGTTTTGGGTCATGAATTGATCGCTTTATTTCGTGCGAGAGCTGGCTACGGGCCGCGCGCCGAGCGATACCTCTTATAATGCCGCGTGACATGGGTGGTGAGAGTGTGTGTCGTGGGGGCCCTATGTAAGCTCCCTTCATAGGCCACGATATCGCGGCCGTCGTTACGGAGCGGGTCATGATGTTTAGGAGGTGAAATGTCTCCGAGACGAAACACGTGGACTTTCTGTCCCTAGCTTCATCCGGCACTACGTGCTAACCAGTCAGGTTTATCGTTGTGTCTACGTGCATATATGAACGTGTTCAAATAATGAAGAGAGGGACAGGATTGATATCACCTATGCTTGTTCGGGGAGTAGGCACTTACCCCGTGGTTGCTGCTCGCGCTGAGGAGAGCTCCTGAGCGCTCGCTTGTAGAGAGTCCATCACGGTTCCTAAGCCGCGAGCTGGCGAGGGTGCTTCTTGGCTGCTTGAGGCGGTCGTGGCTAGCACGGGTCATCCTCTTGGGCTGCCTCAAGCTCGCCTTTGCCGTTTCGACGCCTTTGGTGGGCTCGCGATCTTCCTGGGATGTCTTCTCCGTGTCTTGTCTATCATCGCTTTTGGTTAGGGGGACCTATGTGTCTTGGTGCCTGGGTTCTTCTGGTGTGATGATGCTTTTCAACGTCATGTCTCCCCCTCCGGTTGCGACTGCCCCTTTGTATGGAGGGCTGGTGTGCCTTGTCGCTGCGGAGGTTGGCTGTGATTGCAGCGCGGTTTGATCCGCTCATCACGACGTGTGGTGCACTCAAGGAGCTTGCCTCCTCGGAGGCACATGCCTCCATGCAACATGTGATGGCCCGTAGGGACGCGTCGCGTGGTCTGCCCACTGCACAGGATCGCATCCTAACTCCAGGTTTGACCCTTCGTGGAGTGGTGCCGGCTAGCGACTCAGTTACTGTCGATGACGTCGCGGGGTAGCGGATGATTTCATTGCTCGTGCGCGCCCTAGCTCACGGTGTTCCATAGGCAAAGCCATTGTCTGGGGTGCGTTTCTATTGTAGGATCCAGTTCCACCACGTGGCGGGTCCAGATCGGGTAGGAGCCGGTGACGGGAGTTGTTCCGCTAGTTCGGGCGATTTTGTGGTTCCCTAAGAGGACGTGGCCACCATGGGCCATTCCCCGGGCGAGGTCGACGTGAGCCACGGCTGTTTGGCTCCCTGGGTGGAAGTCTCGACCGTGGCTGGCGATGAGAGAGGGCCCCGGGCCCCCTACGTAGGTAAACTCTGGGATGCAGCAGGCAGTTCCGAGAGTGCGCCCACCATAGGCCGCAGGACCCAGATTCCCGAGGTGGAGGTCTGGGCCATGGCCAAGGGAGGACGCGGGAGGTAGCCCTTTGGTGTGGTTAACCATGTGGTTCCCTAGAGGGATGTGGCTGGTCGTGGTCATTCCTCGGGCGAGTTCGTCGTGAGCTGTGGTCCTTCGTTTTCTCAGACAAGAAACTTGGCCATGGCTTGCGACGAGCGAGGGTACTGGCCCCTCTGGGTTGGTGAACTCTGGGATGCAGCCCCCGAGGGCAGTTCCGACAGTGTGTCCGCCGCGGGCCACGGAACTTAGATTTCTAAGGTAGAGGTTTCGACTGTGGCTGATGGCGGACGCGGGCGCTGGCCCTTTGGTGCTGATGAACCCGTAGTTTTCATGGTAGATGTGACCGTCGTGGGTCATTCCACCAGCGAGTCCGCCGGTGGTGCGAGGAGCCATCGCTTCCTTCCTCAATAATTGAGAGTGCGCGATTGTCCCCTACCTGGCGCGCCAACTGTCGGTGTTTCATAAACCGGACTAGTAAATTTATACGATTGTCATGCTACTCTAGAAAGACGATGGTAGCATCCAATGGACACGAGGATTTATATTGGTTCAGACCAGAGCCCTACGTCTAGTCTTAGAGAAGATCGAGTGCGTGTTCCTCGCTTGAATGCTCTAAAGTTCTTACAATGGGGGATGCAAACAATGGTGAAAGAGGTGGTAGAACCTATGCTAGACGAGGAGCAGCTCGAAGAGAAGCTCCAGGAGCCCTACTGCTATGGATGGAATGGTAGAGGATGAAGAATGTCAAGATGTCCCGAGATGGGAGCCCTGGCTGCCCTTATATCGAGTTCGGGGCCAGGGGTTGTTACAAAGAGGAGGTTCTCCCGCCCGAAGGTAAGACCTTTGTCATGGATCCCATCCTATAGTAGGTGGGATCGTATACGCGTCCTATCGGTCCGTATTTGGACGATGGGCATCGTACCCGTGGCCACCGCTATGCGATGTTGTCTTATTGATGCGGCGTGGCACAGGCATGGCGTCTGACCGGACCGTGGTGACTGCCGTCCCCTCGGTCCTTGTGAGGTCAGAGCGGCGTGCTTGCTCTTGTCAGAGCATGCGTACTGAGCCACGCTCTATCTCTCCCCGTCCTGCCCAGGAGTCGTGATGGGGGAGAGGTCGAGTGTCTTCCGTGTGGTTAAGGCAGGAGAAAGGGTCGCGACCGACCCTGACCTAGGCGTTGGCTTGGCGTGCTCGTCCCAGCTGGGCCTCGGTCGTTCGGGCCATTGTTAACCCGATGAGTTGCGGGCCGCGTGGCCTGCTAACTAATCGGCGCCTTGAGACACCCGAGGGTCATAACCTCGATACATACTCTCTCTTTATCTGCTTTGAAATATCCATAAAAAGTTGAAAGCCAAAAGTAGAGTGAAAGGTGAAAAGAAAATTATACTACACGAAAACTTCTCCTTTAAACAGTAAGTTTAGGTTCCATCCATTTATAGCACGTTTAGTAGGAATCCAGATTCTCCAAATGTTTCAGTTCCACGTTCTCTGTAGAAATATTTATCTACTAAATCATAATCACTTCGTGTAACCGTTTGCCTAGCTTTGCCTAGCTTGTTGGTTCTTGAAACTAAAACTAGAATGAGGTAAAACCTGATTTTAGGTGCTCTCTATACTAATAAAAAAATCGGTTTGAAGCAATTCACCTAAAATATATTTATCTTTGTGACGTTTGACAATAATTTTAGTGATTCTACTGAGAATTTAAGGGCTTGTTTGGTAGAGCTCCATTTGATTCTGATTCTCTATGAAAGCTAATTTTCTGAGACAAGTGATTATGTGATCTAAAGTGATTTTCTTTGATTATTTAACCTAAATAAACTCTCAAAATTACGATGGAGAATCACTTCATAAAGGTCCCGTTCGGCTTGCTGAAACTTGGCTGAAAGTGGTTGAAAAACACTGTTCTGGTTGAAATGTTGGGAGAGAGAAACACTGTTTCGGCTAAAAAAAGAAGTCGAACAAACCGGATATAAAGTAAGCCGAACCGGACCAAAATCGAAAGAAGCTACTTTTTTCACCTCTCAATCTCTTATTTTATATTAGAGAATCACTTGACAAAATCAACATAGAATTATTTCTCTCTGAGAATTGTTTAGCACAGTCCCTACTGGATTTAGTAGCAGCTCCGAGAGCTCTGTCAGCTAAACGCACCTCTGGTTAATGCTCTGCTTTTTGGTAGCAGCTTAAGCTTCCACCGAGGAGAAAGCAACGAAGCTGCCACATGCCACGAAAAGGATTAAAAACATACCCACACGGCCACACCACACGCGTACGCGGCATTCTCCTCGGTGCGTGTTCCTGACGACGAAACGAACACACCGAGTCGAGTCAGCGATGAATCCCTTCGCGAAGAAACCAACTCCGCGAGGTATGATCCATCCCCAATCCCCCTCCCCCGCTTCTCGGCAGGAATTCGATCGAATTCGGCTTTTGTTGCGCGATCCCCGCCTCGATCGTGCTTGAGTTCGGTTGGTCACAGGTCGCCGGTCGCCGCTGCGTGCCTTGAATCTGAATAAATCCGTTTGCTCGGGAGGGGAGTAGGCTAGGAGCTTAGGGCTCTGCGCACCGTGACTAACGCGTGCCCTGTTCGCTTGTCGTGAGAGAAAAATAGGCTTATAAGCCAACCGAACGGGGCGGCGGTAGTCCAGTTCTGGACTTCCGGATTCTAATTTTGGCTCTGGTTATTATGCAGAGGTGATGCGGAGCAGCAAGCGGGACCTGACGAATGCTACGCGAGGTAATTGGTCCCTCTCTGGTGGCGCGCTTATAACAGACAATGAAAATTGTTTCTGCCTTGCTTACTTAGAGCATCCAGTGTTACATGTAATGAGTTCACTTTGCATCTAACACAATTATGTGAGCTGGGCAGAAACGCCTGTTCCTGCTGCTACAATTGTTCACATCAACAGTAATGTTGTAATGAAACTTTCAGGGCTCTTATTTTGAGAAAACTAGATAATAGGTGTTCTAATTTTATTAACGTTATATATGTATATACCGAAAATGTCCAATCCCTTAATCTTTTTTTCATTGAGTTTATTTATTTGAAACCGTACCTGTGAGGAGTTGAGAGTCAGCTTGAATCATGAAACATGAAGGAATATATCAGCCTGTATCTAGGCTTAGTCTGTGGTTACATGTACCATCTTCTTTTTGAATGTAATGGCAGGAGCTCTGCCTTTCAATTAAGAAGAGAGGAGGTCTATATATACAGAATTGGCAAGGGCCAACTCTTCTGCGAGCAACCCACAGGATGGGAAAGAAAAAAAAACACATAGCTAACAAAATAATGACTGTATGTTTATTTAATGCCTGGGATGTCTCATCTGCAGGGATCGAGAGGGACACTGCGTCATTACAGCAAGAGGTATGATAATTCAGTCATATTAGTGTGGTTCATAAACAAAATATCCTTATATATATTGATGATTTAGAATTTTCCTTGTATGATCATACTTCATATTCAACTGATGCTTAGGAAGCTCTGTATGTTCTGTTGCTTAAATTATGTCTGCATCGTATCGGATCTATAAATATGTGATAATTTTAAAGTCACCGCCTTTCCATTATGTGGTTCCACTATTCAATTTTGTTGTTGATGCAGTTGAATTGAGCAATAACAACAGGTTTTCAAACTTTTTTTTTCAACTACAGGAGAAGAAACTCGTTGCTGAAATTAAAAGGACAGCAAAAACTGGCAATGAGGTTTCTACTCTTATATTATATTCGGTTTCAGCTCCTTATTTTTCTTTATCTAGATCATAGTGTATGGTTTTCCTTTGCTTCTGCAGGCAGCAACAAAAATTCTAGCCCATCAGTTGATCAGGTTAAGGCAGCAGATTTCTAATTTGCAAGGTAGCCGAGCTCAGATTCGGGGGATTGCGACACATACTCAGGTGAAATGTTGTTCCTTCTTTTGCTTTATTCCACGTGGATTGTCAGGTTAGTTTTTTTTATTTTGTGGTAAATCGTGTCCTTAGGCAATGCATGCTAACACTTCAGTGGCTACTGGTTTACAAAGTGCAAGCAAAGCAATGGGAGCTTTGAATAAGGTAATATTCTACTGAACTTTTGCGCATGCGTCATTTCATATATATGTTTTTTGAAAAATCATGTATGGATTTTATACAGGAACTAACAGGGTGTATTTTACTTGTAACTTCTATTACGCAGAATACACTTTTTTAAGAATCAAATACATATGTTTTACTGAATGTGTACTTATCTATTTTGTAGCAAATGGAACCTACCAAGCAGATGAAAATAATGAAAGAATTCCAAAAGCAGTCTGCACAAATGGATATGACGGTACGCAAACTTCTCCAAAGCTTAGCAGAATGATTTCTGGCAATTATACACGTTTTACCTTTTGTTATTCTAGGGAAGTTCTTATGAATGTGATGTGTGCTTGCGCATTAATATTAAATGATGCATGTGAGGGTACACACTGATTAATCTTATGCATCGTGCAGAATGAGATGATGTCTGATTCAATTGAAGATGTCTTAGACGATGACCAGGCCGAGGAAGAAACTGAAGAACTTGCTAACCAGGTTATTCGCTGTTTTTTTTTGCATTGTTCTTCAATAAGCCCTGTACTTTGCTTTTGATTATTCATTCTGTTTCTTGCCATTGCCTTTTAGGTTCTGGATGAGATTGGTGTAGACATTGCCTCACAGGTAGTTGAAGATGCTGATTCTTGTATTCCATATTTTATTCCTTTAATATAAACCTTTTCTATCTTTCCTCTTGTAGTTGTCCTCGGCTCCCAAAGGAAAAATTGCTGGAAAGAAGGTTCAGGTTGATGAAAGGTTTGCTCTATCCTTCACCCACAACTCTACATTGTTTATTGTTTTTCAACTTCCCTCCCCTCTTCATATTTTTTCCACCTGAAATCACTACCAAAGGCCAGGATAAAAATTTAGCTCTCTGACTTATTTTTGCGTTCAATGAAATAATTAAGATATTTCTAAGGCTCTATCCCCTGTATTTAGGGGTGTTCAACAGTGGGTTGGGCAAAACCGTTGGATGCCGAAAATTAGACTAATTAGTCACATGACTATTGCTTTGATTGCTTAGCTTTCATCTCAGACAGTTTCTAGTGGTTTGGAAGAAACACGACTATTGTCTGCATTTCTTGGAAATAGCAAGCACAGGTCTGATGTAGGATTTCACATTCTTTACTTGTATTGACTTTTGAGCATTATTGGTGACAAGCTGAGACATCTAGGCAACTTTCACGCACAAAAATGACTGCACAAACATTTCTATGCCGTTTTTTATGCATCTGATTACCTTACCATTGTTTTTCTATATTTTATGATTCTTTGTACTTCTAACTAATAATAAGACTAGACTAAGCATACAAGCTGTATACCAACGATTCCTCATGCCGTCTAGTGCCAGCAAGTGCACTATTTACTTCACTGCATACAACATGAATTGCTGGTAGCAAAGACCACACCTTTGCCATGTTACTGAACATTGTGGTCCCTTTGGGTTAAAATAAAAAAAATGTTTTGCTTCTCTCATCTGCAGTTCGGAGTTGGAGGAACTAGAGAAGAGACTGGCTGCTCTCAAAAATCCATAAGACCTGTTTGCAGTCCTCTCTCTATGCACATAGCAAGCCTGCCGTGTATCTAGATTCCAAGTATTCATTAGACACACAAAATCACTGTGATTTGTATATATCAAATGGAAGATGATGCAAACCCCAAGTTTTTCTGCGAACCGATGCTGCTGCAGTCCGACAGACTATCTCGCATAAGATGGGGCTGTGCCGCCGTATTAGTGACATATGATTCAGAGCAAGGGATTCCATAGTCTTGTAAAGAAGTTCGATTATTTTACCTGACAGCCTTTTGTTTTTGGTCGTTCGTTACATGACAGCGTTTTCTTTTTGAGCATTGTGGGAACTCACAGTAACGATGGCTGCACGCCAATTTTTTTAAGTGTTAATGTTAACGTAAACAATACGTCTCCATTAACCCAGGCTGTCCTTGAATTGCTTGCTTTCAGCCTTGCTGGGCATTTCGAGATAACATTGGGACATCGCCATATGTTTTGGGTATGGCCGTATGGACATGGGAGCCAGTGTCCATCATACTCAGGGGCCGACCAAAACCCAATTATGTTTGCTATCTTCCATGCCAGATGAATACTGTACACAGCATCGTAGAGACACTGTTAGTGCAATTTCGTGCTCTGTCATTTGCTGTGAGTCTCATGAAAGATTAATTGGTTGTTCATCTAGAATGGAAAAAGGAAAAGGAACCAGTCCATTTTTGGCCCAATTAATCTTTTCCATTCAGCATATGCAGTTGAGACTCCAAGAAATGATAAGAAATAAGAATCGAAAAGGAAAAGATTATCTATGAATACGACAGCACCAGTGAACACGATAGCATTTGCTCTTTTAAATGCTAAGAATCTTTTCTTGTCATTTCCTCTTTGGCCCAATTAATCTTTTCATTCAGCATACCTAAAGTGATTGAGTGAATACGACACATTCAGCTCGAAGACTTGAGTGAATTTTGATGTTAGTGAAATTTTCTTAGCATTTCCTCTCTCTCTCTCTCTCTCTCTCACTCTTTTCCATTCAGCATATGCAGTTTGGGGTCAAAATTGAACAAACGCAAGAGTTGATCGGGTGTTAATTTCCTCTTTACCCAGTTTTGGTCATGGAACTATTCCTCATTGTTAATCAACATACTATTTTCATCCAGAAAAAATGTAATTCTAGATTTGAATCGAGTCAATTTTTCATAAATTTGACTAAATCTATAAAAAAATAACCTTTGTGTTTTACTAAAAAATATATATTCTGCGATTAGTCTAATGATAGTTATAAATGCTAGCGCTTTATGTAAGGATTTGGTTAAACCTAAAATTACTTGACTTTAAAAAAAATGAGAATTACATTCTTTTTTGGAGGAAGTATTCCATTCTTCAAAGGGTTATGTGAATTGGTACCATTATAATTTTCAAAGTTTAAGAACTACAATTACTATTCATCTATTCTTAATTTTACCATTACAATTCTTTGTTTCTTTGAAATACGTCATGGTGTACGCTTGGGAAGGTGTTAGGCCCACTGCAGGCGTACATGGTGTCATTGTATTTTCATATGGACAAAACTGCCCCTCCACCTTTCTCTCTGTCACTGACATGTGGACCTGTCGGTGTTTTGTAAACCGGACTAGTAAACTTATACGATTGCCGTGTTGCTCTAGGAAGACGTTGACAGCATCCAAAAGACACGAGGATTTATACTAGTTCAGGCCAGAGCCTTACATCTAGTCTCAGAGATGATCGAGTGCGTATTCCTCGCTTGAATGCCCTGAAGTTCTTACAATGGGGGGTGCAAGAATGGTGGAAGAAGTAGGAGAGCTAGAGCTAGAGCTAGGAGATGGACTGCCTGAAGTGAAACCTCAGGAGCCCTACTACGGTGTGAATGTGTTGAAGATGAAGATCTTTGGATAGGATGTCCTGGCTGCTCTTATATAGAGTTCGGGGCCAGGGCATGTACAAAGAATGAGGTTCTCCCGACCGAGGGGTTATGAGCCTGAGAGAGGGCCTAGCTAACTTGGCTTGCAAGCTATGCCGTCTTGTGGTGCACGTCTGGGCATGGTTGTCGTCATGGTCTTGAGCCCACGTAGCGATAAGGTGTGGCGTGGTGCTACTGTGCCGGCCGTGGCGGTGCTATTGGCACAGTTGTGGTCCGCCAGCCGTCCTATGCGACGTGGCCTCCATCGTGGTCTTCGTCATCATCTCTTGTGCATGTGACATGTTTGTGGGCTTGTGAACCTAGTGTTTAATCTAGAAAATAAGGTATAAGTGTTTAACTCAACACGGTACAAGATAATCCTTATTTGGAGGTGTGAAGAAACTTGTCCTTGGATAAAACTGAGTAAAATATCTTTGGCAAGTGTTCTAGATTGAACCAAATTTAGGAAAATGATCCTCACCCCATTGATTGATGTAACACCCCAGGTGTTTGGCTTCCACATTTGCACCCGCATTTCATGAACATGAGCACCATGCATCCATTCGTGAGCTTAGATTGTATGAAACATGCTTTTGAAACATTGCAACACATGTTTATATTCCATGTGTGTTTCTTTTATGAAATGTAAAGCGTGCAACACTTAAGTGCAACAGGTGCCACTCATTTAGTGAAACAAGGGTAGCTAGTACTATGCAACAAGATCATGAAACATGTGAAACATGACTATGAAACAATTGTAACATTTCATGTGTTTTTCATTGTTTCAGTACATACCTTGCTTGATTCTTGTGTGACCAATGTATGGTGTGGCTAATTATTCTCCTAAGAACCTTAGTCATACTTAGAATGTCATTAGGAACAATGTTCATGTTGATCATTTTGCCTAATTAGATTTCCAAGTCATGGTTGACCAATTTGGACCCCTAGAGCTCCTGTGTTTGACTATTTAAAAAGTGTAGCTTAGGATGTTTGCATGTCTGAGCAACCTAAAGCAAAGTTGTAGAGAATTATATGTGGAACAAAAGTTCTTTTATGACCATCTCATGAAAATGTGCACAACATGTTCAAAAATGGCCCACAAGTCAGGATTGAAAGCTGTTTCAACAATTGAAAATTTTTCTAAGTGTTATACTGGATTTTAGTTTCATGAACTGGACTTTGGCTTGATTTAACTCGTGATCCGTCGAGAGTTAGCTGTTGATTTCTAAATCAAATTTGTAGCCCTCCTATAGATCTACAACTTTCATCTTTACGGATTTCACTTTTGAGCAATGAGTTAGCCGTGCCAACGCGACGAAGTTTCGCTGTCAGGCTGTTCACCGACGCTGATGACTTAACTGATGGCGAGCTACAGTAGTCCGACCGGTTCAGACTTCAAGCGCCGCGTGGCGCCGCGCGTCGCCGACGGCCTGACCGGCCAGGCCACGTCGGGCCTGAGCTCGGCAATTGAAGCCCCAACACGCCACCGAGAGCCCCCTGTGCCACATTTCGTTTCCTGCCTTCTCCCTCGCCTCCGCGCTCGCCCGCAGCAAGCAACGCAGCAACCGCCGTAGTGCCGTCGTCGCCATTGCCGGCCGGAGCGCACCGCGTCCCTCCTCCATCTCCGCCATAGCTTCACCGTGGTCCCACCGCACCACCGCGTCCACGTTGGCTAGCTAGGAGCGCTCGGTAAGCTGCAGCACCGCGCACGGACCTCACCGGTGTACGCCGCCTCACTCCGGCACCGTGGCCGTACCGCCTCCGACCACCTCCGGTCACGCTAGTTGGTGCTATTGAACCGCCGTCGTAGGTAGAAGCTCGTCGTAGCTCTTGATTGAGTCATCGTAGCTGGCTCCGGCGTATCGCCGTCAAGCCGCGCTGTCTTGCCGCCATGGTGGCCGCCGTCGTCTTGAGCTCCGACGATAGGTCTTGTTAGGTAGTTCTCTAGGTGCGCAATGCCATGGTGATGCTTGTCGTGTCGTTGGTCTCGCCGGGAAGGTCGCCGTCGGCGAGCTCCGCCATTCCCGCGCCGGTCCGCGTCGGCTCCTCTGTTTTCACGGTCACTGACCGGTGGGGTCAGCTGATACCCGGGTCCCGCTTGTCAGTGGCTGTAGTTCATAGGGCTAGTTCAAAAATGCAGTTTTGAATGCTGATTTGATATTTTTGTATCTCCTGTTTTGTAGATCCAAATTGGATGGTTCCAATTTTGTTAGATTCACAGTTAGGTCTAATATTTAAGAAAAATATGTATTGAGCACATTATGTAGAAATTTTGGATGAATTAAATAGGAACTTGAAAAGTGTTTTTGAATGCATGCAAACTTGTTTAAATCATATCTTGAGTTTCTGTGATCCAAAAATTATGAAATTTTGTGGGTAAGCTAGTCTTGTATAGTAGAAGCTCTGGTTAAAATTTGAGAGTCATTGCATGTGTAGTTTTTGAGTTAAAGATTTTCCTTTTATCACTGGTAGATACTTGGGTGAATTTTTGTAAATTATCTATGAATCCTATGACCATGAAATTTGTTGGAGAATGTCCTAGTACCTTAAGGATGCTAGGAAAAATATGAAATCTGTTGCTTGACACTTTTCACTAAGGTTTCCTAATTATGCCATTTTAAGCCATTCTGCCTTACCATTTTTGTGTAGGTTGTTATACTTACTCAAATGGTGTGAAATTTTTATGGTAGTCTACTTAGGGCATGTAGTGTCTACTGTAATTTTTGTAGAATTAATGGGGTAGTTTTCATATATGTTTACTATTTTCACTAATTAATATAATAAATTAAGAAAGGTATTAAAAGAAATGTTTTGGTGATGGACACCCTACTTTCTGGTGTTCTTGTAATATGTGTGATATGTCAGTAAAGTTGGTTTTGTCCAATTAAGTGTTTATATCATAAGTTAATAATTATTTGTTTGCATCATGTCCCTCTGGATAGATCTGGGGACTTTGGAAAGTTCCCCATGATAATTTAGTTTTATGTGATTGTGATGAATACAAAAGTTGTAGATAATTTATGTATCTAGCTCCTGTCAAAATTTGAGGGCATTTGGCCCATTATACATCCTTTCTTGTTCAGATATCGCACTGGAATCCTATT